CCTCCTAAAGACTTGCATAGCAGAGACAGAAAGAAGAAACTAATGTGGTTATCTAAGTGATAGCAGATGAAGGCCTAGACTAGAGTGTAAACAGTAAAAATAACAGGTAGAAGCACATCACATAAGAAAGAAAACGGACATGATATTAGGATCAGTAGAAGACAGTTAAAAAAAAAAAAAAGGAGACAGTTTTATATTTGATTCCAAACACAAATGTAAAAACAAATAATACCTAAAATCAGGAATGTCCAGACTTCTGATAGCACAACCATCTAGGTTTTTTTAAAAAACAGAATATCCTCAATACATATATATGTATTATTTATGGATATGTGCTAATACTATATATATTATGAAACATAAAAAACATTTAAAAAAATGAAAGTAAAATAATGTTTTAACAGTGTAAAAACTAATGATAGCAGTATGACTTAATATGCTTTATTTTTGAAAAATTCTAACACTTGGTCATATAGTCTGATTTTAAGGTGTTTACTTTGATACTTGGTTTTAATATTTGTCATAGGTGAAAAATTTTCTCAACTGTGATACTGAGCTTAAATTCCTTCTACCCAAATTACAAAGAGTTGTTGAAATTTGACTACTAAATTTCTATTGTTACTGACATCACTGTTTTGATACTAACCATTTTTAACATATGACTCTGAAAGCCCATTAAAATGCTCCAGTTGAAAGGTTTTTCAACAAAAAATTCTAGTTTAAGTTTTTTAATACAAACATTGTAAGTGACATACTGATTTTGGCAACAGCAAACCTGCAAGAATGTAAACACTTCCAAATATTCATTTAAATGATTTTCTCCATAACTTTCTTTTGAAAAGCAGTAACTTTTTCACTGTTATACTGTCCTCTTTATATGGGCAAACTCAGAATGTTTATTTTTTAAAAACATTAGGTAAATATTCCTTAGGAACTTACCACAGAAAAGAACAGCAAATGTGTAATGTTATCTTTTTGAAAAAGAAAACTACGTAACAACTTTAAATTTTACAACTTTTTTAAATGCTTTGCCATGAGATAACCAATGGAAGTGTAATAATAAAAGTTATGATCATTCTCCTCTTATTATAAAGTATTGTAAAGATTTTACTGTATTTTAAAGGCTCTGTTTTTATAACATTAACCACATTGAAGACCTTTTAAAAATGTTTTGCTTTGATTTGCTACAATAGCTTGCTTTATGAGTGAATTTGATATGGTATTCTACAGTTTTGCTCTGGAAGCTGCATTCAAAATAAGACAAATACTGCATAATGTTTCTGATTACATGGATTTCCATAAAACTCGATTCTGATTAAAAAGTTATTATTGAGAATTTATCTTTTCTGGTATACCTTTCCTTTCTTGGCTCTGTTTGAACATGCTTTTAACTACCTAAGAAGTAAGATGTCAGCCCTTAATAACACAACGCTCCCTCTTACATGATAAATATCAGAAGAGTTGACTGGTACTGATTTTCAGTACTGCAGGAGAAGGAATTTACTTTATTATGGATTGAGGTAGCTAGTACAGGCTTCTCAAGGAAAAGCAGGATTATGGAAAGATAGGAAAGTATTTAGATTGGTTTACTGGAAGATTTCAATAGGTTTGTAGGAAGTTGTAGGAGAAAAAGAGTGAGTGATATGAGAAAAGCATAAGCAAGAAAGTACATGATGAATTTGAGACATGGAGGAGACCAGCTGGAGGATTCATGATGTTGAATAGCTGAATGAGGTAGGTAGGTAAGTGCAGAGATCCTTAAATATGAAGTTCAGTCATTAAGAATTTCATCCTCTGGAAAAAAAAAGAATTTCATTTTATGATGAGCTGCTGAGGAGTTCAGATCAAGAACACTGAATATACAGCTTTGCAGACATGTTGGGGGGGGGGGAATTCTAATGAGGTAACAAGTTCAGGGAAGAAAATTCTTCTGGAACAAAACATTAAGTTTGCACCACAATAGATTCTGAAAGAAAAGTGAAGGAGGGGGTTTTGTTTTCTACCTTTGGCAAAAACACAAGGTTGAATGGAAGTTTCTGAGGGAACATTTAGCCCAGTGATGGGTATCAATGATAGTAGACAGATGACTTAATAAAGGATTAGGTTAATGTACAGGTCCAAATTTTTAAGTAAACATTGTAAAAATATATATAATATGCATATATAGGAAGGATAGTTGTGAATTCTATAGTGAGTTAAGTGCTTCCTTTTTCACTTTGGAGGCTTTTGAATTGCGTATCATCCACAAAAGCCACCATACTATCTAAGGGAGGAGCCAAAATATACTTACAAACTTACTTGTTCTCTAATCCCATGTCTTTTTTTTTTTTCCATCCCATGTCTTTTTAAATAAACCAAAATGAAATCTTCATTTCATCTCTATTTCCTGTCCAGAGCCATTTCCCATAGAAAATGGTCTCTAAAATAAGGTGCATTTGCCTCAATAAGTGCACACACACACACACAAAAACAAAACTCTCCCATACAATTTTTATCTTAGAAAATTGAACTTAAGCTAATTGACTAATTTTTAATAGAAGGATTGATAGGAGTACAAGTATATACTTTCTAGCATAAACATTTATGAAAGTACACACTCAATGTAGAAAGTATAATCAGAAAGTATGTCAGAGTTGACTCTGGGGTGGGGGTTGTTAAATATACAGTTTATCAGCGGTTTCCTCTAGAAATTTTGATTTAGTATATTTGAACTGGTGCTTGGGAATCTGTTTTTTAACAAGACCTCCAAGTATTTATTTTTCAGCCATGTTTAGGAGATTAGCAATAGACCTATTTCACGAAGTACAATTCTGGGTCTCACAATGCTAAGGGCTGTGTGATTGGTACCTCACCTATTGTGAGACAGCTAGAAAGATGGGTTGTCCAAGAGCTCAGCAGCAGAGCTAAAGCTCACCAGTGATTCAGGGACTAGCATCCAGCTCACCTTATGTCTTGTACTTTTATTGAACCAAAGCCAGCTTACAGTAGTTGAATTTTAGGGGTAGCAGTATGTGTGTCTAGAGTAATATAGGAGTTGATTCACCTTTAGGTTTGAAGTCAATGATTGTTTCAAAGCTGTTATCACAGATTTTTACTATGTTCCATGTGTTTAAAACAAATCATGGCTGATCAAAAAACTTTATATCTTGTTTTTATGAATGCTATATAAACATGCTGACACATGGAAATGTAGAAATTAATTTTCTTCTAAGGCATTTGGGTGTGCAAAGATAAAATAGTTATCCAAAATGTTAAAAAATACTAGAAGATATAATAGCTAACATTTATTAAGTGCTTACTATGTGCCAGGCACTGTACTAAGTAAGCACTTTCAATACTGTATATTTAAACCTCACAACAATCCTATGAAGTAGGTGTTTTTAGTAACCATTCTGCAGATGAGTTAACTGAAGGAGCACAGAGAGGTTAAGTAACTTGCCCATTATTTATACAGTTTTGTTTGCTTGCTTGCTTGCTTGCTTGCTCATTTTAATTTGGGAATATTCTAAATAACTTCTAGAAGACACTTATTTTCATGTTATGACTTAATTATCTGTTGACTTCTTTGACTAAATGATTCTTTATCTTGAAACTTGATTCTTCTACTGCCTTGTTCTTTCATGAAACAAATAAAACCTCTTTTTGTGTATCTTAACAAGGAATAAAAAGTGGCATATAGATACTACTTTGGAACATTCAAATGATAAAAGAACATGACAAATAAAAGCAAAGTGTTTACTGCCACTTTGAACATGTAGCCTGATGATTTATATCATAAGTAAAATTTGTAATGGTGTATTGTTTAAGCTTTGCTTATAACTTACTAAGTTTTTAATGTCTGAAGGATATTTTGAGCACAGAAAGAAATTTTGGCAATTATTTGTGTTTTAATTGATGTGCCATTTATTCAAATTTTTAACATTGCCAATTTCAATGCCTAGTTTTTTCCTTAAGGCTGTAAGCTCAATGTATGCATTAAAAAATATGTATCTATTTATACCCTCACTAGGCCTTCAGTTAATCTTTTAATTATCAAATTAAATTCCCTGAAACATTTTAGAAACAAAGCAAGGTATGTAATGAATCAAAAAAGCATAATCAAATAATTAAATCTCGTAAACCTAAATCTAAGAAATCAAATTTATAAATTCAGTCAACCAAGTTCTCCTAAATATTAAGCTTTGTTTACAAACTTGTTACATAATTCATATTATAATCACAAGTCTAAGATAAAAGATTCTCTAAAAATATTTCAAACATCTTAAAAAAAAATCCCAGAAAATACATAGACAAATTATCAGTTAATGCCCAACCTATCAGTACATCTTTATCTTAAAACTAATGTAAAGTCTTCATATTATAGGTTGGATTCATTCCTTCAGCCTGCCATTTCTTTATCCCAAGACTACAAATCTGCTAATAGAACAATAATGCAATAGAATTTCCATCTTCTAGCCTTCCATCACAACTAGGCGTATACATTTGGGATCAGAGCAGGGGACCTGTGTGTCTGCCAACCACAGTCTGCATTGGACAGGGACCCTTCTACCTCTTTCTTATAGTCAGGTTCTTGCTTGCCATTGTTAACAGAAGCTTTATGAGCCCTCACATAAACTGAACATTTAAGTTTTACATTTTTGCAACCTGGTTCTTTTCCTAGAAATGATGCATCCTGTAAGTTTTTCCCTTAGGTTTTAAAACCTGGTTCTTTTCCTAGAAATGATGCATCCCTTAAGTTTTTCCCTTGGGTTACACTTAATCCCTATTATAATTGGATTTTCTAAGTCCAATTATGTAGAAACTCTGTAACCTTTGGCATTAAAGCCTATTTGTGTACTGATGGGGTTTTAACACCCTACTTAGGTTACTATAGCAACCCTTTCTCTTTTATTATTTAATAGCGGACTCATTGACCATCAGTCATTTTATTGACAAGGATGATCAAGTTTAGTTTTTAACCCCTTTAAATTCACAAAGCCAAAATGATTTTTCTCTCCTAGGAATGCCAGAATCACCTCCGCAGATATGGAAATGTGAATCTGGAACTGGTGACTCGAATCATTAGAGATGGTGGCCCATGGGAAGATCCAGTGTTGCAAGCTGTTCTTAAAGCCCAGCCAGCATCTCAGGAGATAGGTACTTCAGGAGACTCAAAATCAAAACCAACATTTGTGAGAAGCAAGCGCAATTTTCATTTCTAACTAGAGCAGTAATAGTGATTTTTCTTTATCTTCTAATACTGAATAAGAGTAATGTATTTTCACATGAAGTGTGTTTAAATTGTTATACTAACCTGGCCCAAGAATGATTTTTGACACCAGACTAGGTACCTTTATGTATAGTAATTTTCCATTTATTCTAATGGGAATTCAGTGTAATACACTTACTGTCCAGATGTTACTTACAGAGAGTTTGGTTTCATCATTTGTTATATTTTAAAAATCTAGTTAAGTAGGAACAAACACCCTTAAAAACAACAACAACAACACCCTGCTTAAGCACATGGAATCTCCCTTATCCAGGAAACTCTGAGGGCTGGAACTCTTTGTCAGTTTTTGTCACCACTACTGCATATCCTATACCCAGCCCAGTGCCTGGTACAGAGTAGGTACTCAATATAAGTATTTGTTAACTGAACCAAGTGACCATCTGAGGAATGTGTAAGTGAATGAGTGACGAGTTGAATGAATTCCAAGTACTCTGGAGCAGTATTTCCCAAACTTCATCCATTAGTAGAAGTTGAGTTTTATCTCATCCCTGAACGACCTGCATGCTTTGGTATCACCTCCTTTCCAGCATAGATCCACTGTGTTTCCTGTGGGCCAAAATTTCCTTTTGAGGCAAGAGGCTCTGTCAATTACTTCTAGGTAATTCTTTTTAAAAACTGTTTGCCATATTGTTCCTGAGCCCCAGAACATTTTGGATCATCAGAACTTAGAATGTAAACTCAGCAGTAGTGTAAGCAGAAAAAGCATGGAAAACATTTGAAAGCATGGAGAGAGCCCATGGAGTGCAATTATAAGATGGCCAGAAAGAAAAGACAAGACTTCCCACCCTTGTTCTGGTGAGGATACTTCACACCACATATTGTGCTGAGCAGGTTAGGATCTTTCCATTTGCCTCAGGTTAATAAGGGTTGGGGGTAGGTTTTGAGTAGAGTTGAGTGGAGAAGGGGCTATGCTTCTCCAGCTTAAGAGCAAGTCAACTCCAGATACAAGTGTGGAGGACTGTGACAGAGATAGGAGAGAAGATGATGAAAGAGAGAAGATCAGGAGAAGTAGTTAAAAGTGGTGGGCTGAGATAGGAGGTAGAATAAGACTAGAGGAAAGAGCTACAATATGTATCATAGTGTTATAGTGGTAAATACCCAGGGCATACAAGGGAGACTGGAACTTGATGTGAGGGTTTCAGAAAGGAGTAAAAAACTGAAGAGGGAGGCAGTTGGAACTGAGGAGGAAGCGTTGTACCATCGAGGAAAAGCATATAGAGTCAATATAGGGAAGGCAAGGGTGACAGACTGAAGAAAACTATGAGGAACCTGGGGAATGTGGTCAGATGGCACAGAAGCTAGATGAGGAGCTTGAAAAGGAGAATAGAGAAGAAAGCTTGGGCTTTTAGGCTTCTCTGACTAGGAGCTAGAACAAATCTGTTGGTTGGTGTAAGGGCTGATGGTATGTCTCTCTCTCTCTCTCTCTCTCACTCTCCCTCTCTCTCATCCTTACGTATATATTCCTTTCATACTTCCACTAGCATACCTCACTTTGGGAAAAGCTGCTCTAGAGCCTCATTAATATGGATGACTCTCCTCTAGTTGGTGACCATTAAGATAAAGACCAGTCTGAAGTTTATCTTTGTATTAACTCTATAAATCATTGTCTGCTTATCATATGCTGTAAACGGAATTGCAAGGCACATGTTGAAGCCCAAATAAAACATCACTCATAGGCATTTTAGAAGCTACTGATTAAACATACACAAGTAATGAAAACATTTTGATCTGAAATCATGAAATGTGGATCCCTGTTCCTGCTCTGCCACTTATTCTTTGTCCTTGGGCAAGTCATTTGACCTCTCTGAGTCTCAGTTTTGTGATCTGTGAAAGAAGTATTATGATACCTGTCATAGGTTGTTGTTAGGTCTAAATAAACTTAGGTAGATAAGGTGTTTTTATGTTTTTAAGTTGTGTAAAGTATTAATTAGTAATTATTCTTAGTGATACATATATTAATAAGCAATCCTTTTTGGTACTACTTTTGGCTTAATTTTTGATAAGAAGTAATAAAACATTTTCCTTAATTCACATTACTTTTCTCTATACATCTAAATCAATGTGGTTTTAATGACAAAATAGGATTCAGCCTTTTAACCTTATGTGAATGACAATATTAGGCAACAAAATATAAAGTACATAAATAGACTAGAAATTCCAGACCCCATGTTATCTGAAACATTTTAACATATTAGTGAACTGAAAAGAGAGTATTTCATTTTTTGTTAAATTTTTTTCAGTTTTTAGACTGAAAAGAAATCAAAAGATACTTCTTGAGCAGTTTTGGTGTTACTCTTATTTCCATTTTTCCAATCATATGACTGAATATTATTTTCATAAATAAACTCCTACTAAGGAATATGCTATTTAGTTAAATAACCACTTAATCTAATTAGATGCCACATGTTAGTGGTAGAGTTTCAAACAACAAAGTTTGAGAATCTTTTCTTGAGAGTAATAAGAGTTTGTTTTCTTTTTAATATAGTGAACAAATATTTAAGTTCTGAAAATCCACTGTTCTTTGAACTACGTGCCAGATACCTAATTGCTTGTGAACGCATACCTGAAGCAATGGCTCTTATCAAATCTTGTATAAATCACCCAGAAATCAGCAAAGACTTGTACTTCCATCAAGCACTCTTCACATGTCTGTTTATGTCACCTGTAGAAGATCAACTATTCCGGGAGGTATTGTTTGAGATTATGTTTGCCTTTTACTATTTTAACCTTATCAAAAATAAAAAAAAAAAGTAGCCCATTCTTGTAAAATTCCTTTTACAGTAACACCAAAGGTTTTAGGATTACATTATTTAGATGTGTTCTCTTTGACACTATTCTTTAAGCTCACATTGAATTAGACAATCTGAGACTGACAATTGATGAAATTAACAAAGCATTCATCAATAAGCATTATACATGTTGAACTTATTGTGTGACAGAAGAGGTTAAATAAAAATAGGAAGCATTTTAAATAAAAATTTAAATTAATTATTCAGCACTTGTTTTGTAAATACTTTTATAAAGTATTTTGCCTTTTAATAAAATATTAAGAAATTAAATGCTCATGTTTGTTGTTTTCGTTTGTTTTTTTTTTTTTTAAGATGAAAGAATCTTTTCCTAATATAGAACCTATTCACTTACAAGTTGTGGACATTAATGAGATTAAAAGTAGTTATAAATTGCAGGTGCTAGATAGTAAAACTATGAAACCATGAAAATATTTCTGTATAATTCATCATTGTTTTTGTAGAAGAAAACCAGAAATTTAAATTTTTTCCTGAATGTTTAATCCAGACATTTAATGCAACTAGCTTTTTAGGTATTTTTAATGATATGAACTGATTTTTCTTTTCCTCTTATAGCATTTATTGAAAACTGATTGTAAGAGTGGAATTGATATCATCTGTAACACTGAAAAAGAAGGCAAGACTATGTTAGCTTTGCAACTCTGTGAATCCTTTCTTATTCCGCAGCTCCAGAATGGGGATATGTACTGTATCTGGTAAGTGTCCCTAATATGGAAATTGAAATGGTAAGATGAGGAACAAAAGGAGAACTGGTTGGCAGAATCTGGACTTTATGTTTTAAAAAAAGTTCTGTGAAAATGTTAAGCCACATTTTAAAAATTTACTGTGCAAGAAACAACAGTAAGTTGTAAGATCTAAAAATTAAAAAAGACAATGACCATGTGCCAGTAACTGACAGTATAAATGTTTAATGTATTATAATGAAACAATTATATTTTAAATCAAATGTGGAATTTAGTTTTTTAAGACTTTATTTTTTAGAGCAGTTTTAGGTGTACAGTAAAATTGAGAGGGAGGTACAGACATTTCCCATTATATCCCGATCCCCACATATACATAACCTTCTCCATTATCAACATTCTCAGAAAAAAAAAACAAACAAACAAAAAAAAAATTACTCACCAGAAGAGTACTTTTTTTTTTTTTTCTTTTTTTAACCAAGGATGAACCCATAGTGGCACATCATAACCACCCAAAGTCCAGATTCTCTTAGGGTTCACTACTGGTGTTATATATAATCTATGGGTTTGGATAAATATAGTATCACACAGGGTATTTTCACTGCCCTAAAAGTCCTCTGTGCTCCCCACTTGTTCATTTCTTCTCTCCCTCTCCCAACCCTCACCTCTAGAAACCACTGATGTTTTTACTATTGTCATAGTTTTACCTTCTCCACCATATTGTATAGTTGGAATTATACAGTGTGTAGCCTTTTCAGATTGGCTTTTTTCACTCAGTAATGTACATTTAAGGTTCCACCATGTCTTTTCATAGCTTGATAGCTCATTTCTTTTTAGTGCTGAGTAATATTCCATTGCCTGGATTACCAGTTTATTTATCCATTCACCTAATGAAGGACATCTTGGTTGGTTTCAAGTTTTGGCAATCACGAATAAAGCTACTGTAAATATCCATGTGCAGGTTTCTGTGTGGACATAAATTTCAACTCCTTTGGGTAAATACCGAGGAGCACACCTGCTGACATGTATGGTAAGAGTGTTTAGTTTTGAAGGAAACTACCAAACTGTCTTCCAAAGTGGGTGTACTGTTTTGTATTCCCACCAGTAATGTATAAGAGTTCCTGTTGCTCATCCTCACCAGCATTTGCTGTTGTCAGTGTTACAAAATTGGGCCATTCTAATAGGAGTATAGTGGTATCTTGTTTTAATTTGTATTTCCCTGATGACATATGGTGGGGACCATCTTTTCATATGCTTGTTTTTTTATCTGTATATCTTCTTTGGTGAGGTGTCTGTTAAGATTTTTGGCCCATTTTTAAATCAGATTGTTAGTTTTCTTTTTGTTGAATTTTAAAAGGTCTTTGTAGATTTTGGGTAATAGTCCTTTATCAGATGTGTCTTTTACAAATATTTTCTTCCAATCTGTGGCTTGTCTTTTAATTTTCTTGATATTGTCTTTCACAGAGCACAGTTTTTAATTGTAACAAAGACGAGCTTATCAATTATTTCTTTCATGGCTCATGACTATAGTGTTGTAAAAAGGCATCACCATACCCAGAAGCTTATCTACTAGGAGTTTTATAGTTCTGCATTTTCTGTTTATGTCTGTGATCCACTTTGAGGTAATCTTTGTGAAAGGTATAAAGCATGTGTCTAGATTTTTTTTTTTTTTTGCATGTGGATGTCCAGTTATTCCAGCACCATTTGTTGATGAGACTATTTCCACTCGACTGTATTATTGCCTTTGCTCCTTTGTCAAAGACCAGTTGACTATATTTATGGGGGTCTGTTTCTGGGCTCTTTTCTGTTCTGTTCTCTTGATGTATTTGTCTATTCTTTCACCAATACAACAATGTCCTTATTAGCGTTAGTCTTCCAACTTTTTTCTTCAATATTGTATTGGCTATTCTGGGTCTTTTCCTCTGCATATAAACTTTAGGATCAATTTGTTGATACCCATAAAATAACCTGCTGGGGTTTTGATTGGGATTGAATTTAATTTGTAGATCAAGATATTGACATCATGACAATATTGAGATTTCCTATTCATGAATATGGAATATCTCTCCCATTTTAGTTTTTTGATTCATTCATTAGTTTTGTAATTTTCCTCATGTAGACCTTATATGTATTTGATTAGATTTATGCCTAAGTATTTCATTCTTGGGATGCTAATATAAATGGTATTGTATATTAGTTTGTGAAAACATTTTAAAAAAATGTTAATGTTTATTTATTATTGAGAGGCAGAGCATGAGAGGGGCAGAGAGAGGGGGAGACACAGAATCTGAAGCAGGCTCCAGGATTCGGCTGTCAGCACAGAGCCCGACATGGGGCTTGAACTCACGAACTGAGAGATCATGACCTGAGCTGAAGTCAGATGCATAACTGACTGAGCCACCCAGGCGCCCCAGTTTGTGAAAACATTTTTAAAGCTACTTAAAAATGATTAGTAGGATATATGAAACATCAGGTTTACCAAGAAATAATGTAATTTAGAATGCATATTAGAATGTTTTTAGTATATATCTTCAAATCCTTTTAGGTGAAATCATGAATAATTCTAAAAGATTCTAATAACTTCTGCCTTCCTTTTCCCAGTTCTCATGCGCGCACGCACACACACACACAGACACACACATCCTACCACTTGGACATTTTACTTTTTTTTTTTTAAGTTTATTTATTTACTTAGAGCATGTGCACACATGTGAGGGAGGGAGGGGCAGAGAGAGGGAGAGAGAGAATCCCAAGCAGGCTCTGCCCTATCAGCGCAGAGCCAGATGTGGGGCTTAATCTCATGAACCGTGAGATCATGTGACAGATGATCTCAAGAAATCAAGAATTGGACACTTAACCAACTGAGCCACCCAGGCACCCCAACATTCATTAATTCTTAAAGGATAACTAGGTTTCATTTGCCCAACATAATAATCTAAAATGATATGGGCTTATATAAGACATTTTTAAATCAATACTTTTGAATTTTAAATTCTAAAATACATATTTATTTTTCACAAACATTCTATTTAATAGATCAGTTTAACATTAGTGGCAAATTTTAATAGAGTAGAAAGCCTTCAGTATATATTGTCTCTATTTAAAGTTTGTTTATTTTTCTTAAGAAAGAAGTTCCAGGACTGATATCACTGAAGATAAGAAAGTTAAGAAATAAGATAAACTGCTAGGTTATTTGAATTGTTCATCCTGGTGGTTACAGCATGTTAAATTAAAGTTATATATTGGTTTGAGAGTGGTAGTGAGAAAAATTATCCAAAATAGTGAGTCATGAGATATTTGGGCTTTAAAAGGATACCACATTCCTAAGAACACCAATATTTATCTCTTAGGAATCAGTGAAAAAAAATCTTTTTTATGTTTATTTTGAGAGAGAAAGTGTGTGTGTGTGCACCCGCACAACAGGGGAGGGTGGGGCAGGGGAGGAGAATCCCAAGCAGGCTCTGAGCTGTCAGTGCAGAGCCCGACATGGGGCTCAATCTCAAGAACTGCAGGATCATGACCTGAGCCGAAAACAAGAGTCGGATGCTTAACTGACTGAGTCACACCCACACTCCCTGGAATCGGTCAAATTTAAATACATGTTTTACATGATATGTTTCCGTCTATCTAGTTTATTTCTCATAATAGTTTTTGAAAACTATCACCATAACAGGATTTCACAGAGCGATTTACAGCATGGACCACGGCTATCAGGTACCATAAACGTAAGACATTTCAGTCATCAGTGTTTATTCATATACTTTCTCTCTGTTGTCCCGATTGCCACGCTCTCCACTCTCCAGAAAACTGTCATTTTCATAACCAGTTCCCAGACTATCAGGTCTGTCAAACTTTAGCACTCTTCTGTCCCATGCATCACCCCCTAACCCCACCATATACACACATAATTATAAACTGGTACACGCATTAAGCAATCTTAAGGAATTTAAAATCTGTCATTCTGATATCAAGTAACTCTTTAAAAACTTTAGTAAGCATAAGGTCACACAGAAAGCTTGTTATTTAATGCAGGTTTTCATGCCTATTCTCAGAGCTTTTAATTTCATAGTGCTGGGTAAGGAACTATACTTTTTAAAATCTTTCCTCTTTGACATTTTAATTATTATGTGTAGTGGTATGGATCTCCTTGGGTTCATCTTGATCCAAATTCTCTGTGCTCCTGAGCCTGGATGTCTCTTTCCTTCCCCAGGTTGGGAAAGTTTTAAGGTATTATTTCTTCATTCTTTTGGGACCCCTGTAATGTAAATGTTTGTTTACTCAGTGTTATCCAAGATAGCCCTTAAGCCATACTCATTTTTTAAAAATTTTATTTATTTATTTATTTATTTATTTATTTATTTATTTATTTATTTATTTATTTTTCTCTTTCTTTGTTGAAGTCCTGAGTTTATGACCGTTACTTTGAACTCTTTATCAGGTAGATCGCTTGTCCCTGTTCTATTTAGTTCTTTTTCTGAGGCTCTGTCTTGTTCTTTCATTTGGAGCATATTCCTCTGTCCCCATTTGCTTGACTTTCTGTGTTTATTTCTGTGAATTAGGTGGAACAGCTACTTCTCCTAAACTTGAAGGAATGATCCTGTGTATGGTTATCCCCTGTGTGGATTGTGTGTGCCTGATGACTTTGGCTAGCTGGCTAGAGCTGTAGCTGTCATAGGCTGGATGTCCTGGGACTCCCTGTGCTGGGGCCATGCTGGTGGGACGGCCAGAGCTGAAGTAGGTGTAGGCTGGGCTGCTCCTGGGGTTTTCTGCACAGAGGGCACACTGGCAGGACAGCTGAAGCTGAAGTGGGTACGAGGTGGTCTCAGGGCTCTCTTGTGTTGTGGGTGATAGCAGAAGCTAAAGTGGGTGCAGGCTGAGGCATCCTGGGGCATTCTGTGTGGGGTGCCCTTTTCGGGCAGCTGGAGCAGAAGCAGGTGTGGACCACAGTGTCCTGGCAAGTTGTCTGGAGCTTAAGTGGTGTGGGTCTGGAGCGTTCCAGGGTGCTTTGTGCCTGTGTTACTTTGTCAAGTAGTCTTGAGCTACAGTGAACACTGACAAGGGTGACCCGGTATGCACTGTATTGGGCCTCCTTAGTGAGACAGTTGGGGCAGGTATGGGTAGAGGGCCAGGGCTCGTTGAGGTGGTAGGGTGTCTGGACCATGCTCCTGTCCATGCTGTCAAGGTGGATGGGGAATGTGTAAACTGTGGTGCTTGACAGCCCCCCTGACCTAGAGAAAGTTCCAGCAGTCTCCCTGCCATTTGGCAGAGTTCTAGGGCTAGATCCTTTATATTCTAGTTGCCCTTTTAAACTGCAACTTTTTCTCCTGTACCTCAGAGCAGATGAATCTGCTCATAGTCCCTTATTACTGTCCCTCCCCACTGCAGTTTACAGGGGTGAGAGTGGGGATTCCCTATTACCGTGTCTCCGTCTTTCTTGCCATTCTCTATGTGGTCGCTCTTACTTTTGTTGTTCAGCTGTTCAGTCAGTCCTCAGTTCTGCAGGAGGAATTGCTCTCTGTGTAGGTGCAGATTTGTTGTGTCCCTGGAGGAGGTGAGTTCAGGGTCTGCCTACGTCACCATCTCGGACCTAAATTCTTAAAATATTTAAAAGAATACCTAGAAGATGAATTTAATGATAAACTCATTTAATATTATTTTATAGATTAAAATCTTCAGACTCAGAGATAGAGTCAAATAGCTAATTAGTAGCAGAGCTGGGTCTAGAAATTAGTGGACTTATCTTCCAGGGAAGTATATTTTTATTTAGATTATGCAAATTCGTATTAAAAAGTTTACCATGTAAATTGGAATTTCAAAGAGAGGAGGGGATCAGGAGGCAGTGGTAAGACAATATTAAATAGTTTTTAAAGAGTTACCATTTCTTGATATGTAGTTATTCTGAAATATAATCATGACTGTTAAAGTAGATCTTTTCCTATGCGTAAAGGAATGTTCTGACTTTGACTATATTAAGCCAACAGAATATCTTTAGCCTCTTCATTTTAATATACTCATAAGTAAACTGAAATCCCAAATACAAACAAACAAACAAACAAACAAAAATGCTTTCTTCTTTTGGCTAACCATTTTACTATTTAGGGAGGGATCTTAAAAATAGAAGAGTGCCTATCTTTCCTGCCCCCACCCACTGGCACCTTCTAAGAATAGAAGCTGGGTGTGTGACTCCCAGCTGCCTAACTGGAAAGGAATCTTCAGCCTGTTCCTTTGTCCGTCCTTCTGAGTGGGCGGGGTACTGATTACCTGCTCTCTTATTTCTTCTACCTCTCCTCAATATTTCTGAATGCTGGGGTCCTTTTCTCTTACTTCTAAAAGTTGATTTTCACCATAACTTGAAGAGCAGGATTCTTTCATGCCTCCGAGGTCTGTGTTGTCTGTTTCATTTTGGCTTTCCCTATGAACCGGCTTACCTCATCTCCCCCGTCTCTGTGGACAGAACCTGATCCATAGTCCAGTTTTGCTCTATCTGAAGCCAGTAGAGCAAGCAACCAACTCCATTTCTCTGCCATTTGCTAACAATAACAAGTAGTAGTAATAATAACAGCAGCTACTAATATCTTCTGAGTGCTTCCTATAGTCTGTATTTCATATATACATTCCCATGTAAATAATGCCATGTAAATAATGAAGTAATGAAGTAAATAATGAAGCTAAGATTCAAACCCAGGCAGCCTGACTCACAGCCTCTATTAAATATTACTTACTATAAATAGATCAAACATAAAAAAAATGTATGTTGTAAAGGTGGCTGTATACCCTGTTATAGCCTACATTCTCTGCAGCCTGTTACTTGATGATTTTATTAGTAGCTAGTACCTGGGAAATGTGTTTGTGTACCATATAGGAGCTATGTTTTCTAAAGGACTTCTATTTGAGAAGAAAATGTAAGCTTCATCAACACTGTTTGCTCATGAGCAAAGAAGACTATTGTGGGTTTTCAGAGCATTTTGTTTTCCTTCAAAATCTAAAGTACAAGTAAAACCCGATACCCCTTTTATAAATTCAGTCAAAATGGAGCTCCATAATCATATCCTGAGATTTCTGCTTTCCCTACTTTTAGAAAGCTAAAATCCATACTGGCAGCCCTTTCCTGGCAAATTTATTAGAATCTTGGGATTACATTTTGTTCATCAAGTTTCATCCTGAATTAACAGAAACAAAGGGAAATGAGATCTCTCTCTTCAAAAAAGAAAAATAATAATAGTGTACCCTAAGGATGTCTATTAGGAGTCTCAATTTATTTTTTGGAGCAAGTTGGAGAATATATACATTTCTAATATGTTAAACATTGATCTGTGTAATAATGAGTGCAATGAATACTCTCCCCCAATTTCCAACTATCATTTTTTATTTTTTGTCTTTAAATCTGTTGCAGAGATCTGCCAGGTCTTCTTAAACACAGTAACCTGCTTGCCTTCTATCTCATCCCTTTGTTTATAAAATACCCCTTATTTAGAATGTCCACCATCATCTTATACATCATTCTGGGTCTGCAATTTCCCTTAATAGATTTCCTCAAGAGGCTCCCTCTAAATGCTCTTAGCGGGGCGCCTGGGTGGCGCAGTCGGTTAAGCCTCCGACTTCAGCCAGGTCACGATCTCGTGGTCCATGAGTTCGAGCCCCGCGTCGGGCTCTGGGCTGATGGCTCAGAGCCTGGAGCCTGTTTCAAATTCTGTGTCTCCCTCTCTCTCTGCCCCTGCCCCGTTCATGCTCTGTCTCTCTCTGTCCCAAAAATAAAAAAATAAAAATGTTGAAAAAAAAAGAAAAAAAAAATAAATGCTCTTAGCATTTAGGAAGACTTTTTTTTTTTTTTACCACTTTATTAAGTAGCAAATATTTGTTGAATAAATCTCACTGGTTGGTACTATTAAGATTATAAAGATAAGGAAAGAATAAAGGAAGTTAGTGATTTATGAAACATCAGTACATACCAGACATTTCACCTAGGTGTTTTCACTTAACTGTCCATTATTTTTATGTCTAAGAAAACTGGATAACAGAGATAAAAGCCACCTAGCTGGTAATAAAATGGAGTTAGAACTTATACTAGTCAATTTGCAAGTGATAGCATCCTATGTCTAATTAGTTTAGGAAAAAGTTAGTGCACATGGAAAAAATACTGGGTCATGACAAAAAAAGGGGAAGGATAGAATAGGTCCCCAAAGATAACTGCTTCCAGGGACACTGATTTTTCTGCCAGTTGACTTCATTCTCTCCTGTTGCAGACCAGAAGGAATGTCAACAGTCTCCAGCCTTCATAGTTTAGAGTTGAGAACATTCCAGGGACTCTGACCGGCCTGACTGGGGTCAGTTTCCTATAATTAATATCGTAAGGAGGGTGAGGACGGTCACATAGTTCAAATGGTTACTGGGGTTCCAACCTTGTGTAGTAGGTTATTTCCAGAAAAAGATGGCTCACTGTGAACTGGGTAATATCACACCATTTAGTATAGAATGCCCTAATGAGAAATCTCTTATTCCCAGTCTCATGTTTTTGCCACTACCTCCACTATACAATGTGTCACTGAAATTAACAATGGGGATTAACAACAGTTGGGGCAACAGGCCCCATAAAATATCAACAAGGAAATACATGAAAGGCATGAAACCAACAAGAGGGATAGATCTATTCTGAGGTAGTTATCACTTTAGATTGGGGTATTCGTGAAGGCATTCACGAAGAAGGGGTACTTGATAATGGACTCTGAAAGATAAGCTCATCTTAGAAATGAGTTACTTTCTGAGTACAGCAATTAGCATAAAAAAAATGAGAATAAACAAAGTACATTAACTAACCTTGAAGAGTGCCCAGGATTATAATCCTATCCCGACTCCAAAACCCACATTTCTGTTGCTGTTAATACTATGTGACATATGGAATAAGCACTGAATGAAATTATTTGAAAGTCTGGAAACAGAGCAGTTTAGCAGCTGTAGAAGTGCATATGTAAAATTAGAGGGCCTAAGGTGGTAGCACTGAGAAAGAATGGTATGGCTATGGGCAAAAATATAATTTGAATACAAAGGCTGTGGAAAATAAACAGATTAGAACCTAACGAGGAATGTTTAGTGTCATTGACTGACCTAGCAAAAGATAATCAATTTTGCAGGAGTATTATTCATTCTAAGTGGGTTATGGTGATAGAAAGCAATCTAAATTGAAATACCCAGAAATGGAAATTGGGAAAGAAGTCAGAGCTACAGATTTGGGAGCAAAGTGTGAAACCTGGTGAGCTTTTATATGCAAAAAAAGTGGGGTTGTGAACTGAAACTTATTAACACCCATACAGCTAGAAGAAGATGGAATTAGAATTTTGGTTTTACTACTTCTGTGTTGCTTGCCATTATTTTCTGTTTTGTGCTTTCTGTATTGTCTCTCTAAGTAGACTATGTACACTTTCACGATAGTAGTCAAGCTATCCTTAGACTTAATAGCTGCATGTGCTGGGCTCAAAGTACATGCTCAGTAAATCACTTAAAACAAAACAAAACAAAACAAAACAAAACCATTTTCATCAATTATCTTAATACTTTTTAGATTATGATGCTTTATGTAACTTGACACACTTTAAAGAATTCTAATTTACTAGAATGGGATACCTAAACGTATCAATTATATGTTGATTTCCTTTGCCTCAAGACCCACTGCTCCTCCTTTGTCCATCTAATAACCCTGGCCACATCTTAGAAACCAATCTACCTGTGAAATGCTTTAAATGGCCCATAGCTTTTCTGTTTAAAAATACTACATCTTAAGGAAGAATAGATGATCTTCAACATAAAATTTCAGAATCAGTACTACAGTGTCTTACACTTTAAACCTATACCACAACAGGTATCTTAATAGATTGAAAATGAAAAACATGGACATATCTTTATAGAAAGTATACAAAATTGATTTCTAAATTTACAAGTAAAGTATTAATTAAAGGTCAAAGTTTATTTTTTTTAAAGTAATATCATTGATATAGGTACACCGGGATTAGAGTTTATCATGTACTAGAGGTGCCTTGGGTTTGTCAGCATATGATTGGAATTCATTCCTTATCACTGAAGATTACAATTTTTGATCTCTCTTTTTGTCCCATACAGGTAGCAGAAGTAGCTGGAGGTTAACATAATATCCATTTATGCCCATTTTGTATCCATCGCAGCCAGGGTACTATAGAATCAGCAAAAGATAGCTAATGCCTGTATTTGAATAAACTCTATTTTTAATATTTCTCTTTTTTTTTCTCATTTACAGGGAGTTGATTTTCATATGGAGTAAACTTCAGCTTAAGTCTAATCCTTCAAAGCAAGTTTTTGTAGATCAATGCTACCAGCTTTTAAGAACAGCAACTAATGTGAGAGTCATATTTCCTTTCATGAAAATCATTAAAGATGAGGTAAATAGGATATATTTATCCCTTAATTTTAAATGAAATGTAAATGACAGTTCACCGAAACTTGAATCTTTTATGATAAAATGTTTCTGAAGAGAAGGAGGATTCAAAGGCCACATATCATATCCTTCCCTTTCCCCAACTGCAATCTCCCAACATGGTACTAAGCATTTACATAAGTGAAAATAACTGAAAAAAGACCGAAAAACTGCCAATTTACTGTTACTTAAAATTTAATATGGGAACAACTGCTTCGATAAGAAGTAATTACTCTTTTCTTTAAAAGTGTCACACTTTTAACATTATCCTAACTCCTGTTTGTAGAATCTTAACTTATTTGCAAATGAACTTTGTATATACATAGGTCACTTTCACAGAAAAATATAGTTCATAATTTTAAGTCTGGTATTAAGGTGAAAAGGAACAATGAATTCTGAAGCATTTTTGAAATCTGACAAATTTTTAAAGTATTTATTTGAAGTAACAGTAAAATTCATTACCTGTTTTTAAAAATAGTTCTGAAGTAAGTTTTTCGTGGTCACTTAAAAGTGAATACAGTTCTGTGTAAGACTCTTACATAGGCATGAAACTGGATCCTGCAAACGCTTTAACTTTTTCCCCTCAAATATTAACAGAACCTTGAATACCAAGATAGGAAAGATAAAGCTACCCTGCATTTTAGGGAGCTCCATTTGGCTGAATCTTTATGTGGGTTATTTTTAAATATATAAAGAACATCCAATAAATAATGTATTTTAATATTTCTTATAAATTTATCCATTTTTCACACTAATTATCACGTCATTCATTAGATGTATGACCATGTAGTGATTATATTCCCATGATATAAAGTTAGCAGCATTATATTCAGAGAGCTTTGTAAATTTCTGATTTTATTTTACTAACTGCATTCATAGCTTCATTATTAAACAGTGAAATGTCATTCAAATGCATTGTTGGGGCACCTGGGTGGCTCAGTCTGTTAGGCGTCCAGCTTTGGCTCAGGTCATGATTTCGCTGTTCATGAATTTAAGCCCCATATCAGGTTCTGTGCTGACAGTTCAGAGCTCAGAGCCTGGAGCCTGCTTCAGATTCTGCGTCGCCCTCTCTCTCTGCCCCTCCCCCACTCGCCCTCTCTCTCTCCGTCTCTCAAAAATAAACATTAAAAAAAAAATGCATTGTCAAAGTTAATCTCTACCCCCATCAAAAAGGGAAAGAAAACCAAACAAGCTATGTTTTAAAATCCTTCCAATATTTCTTTATTTTTATTTATTTAAAAAAATTTTTTTTGAGAGAGAGAGACAGAGTGTGAACACAGGAGTGGCAGAGAGAGAGGTAGACAACAGAGTCTGAAGCAGGCTCCAGGCTCTGAGCTGTCAGCACAGAGCCCAATGTGGGCCTTGACCCACGAACTGTGAGATCATGACCTGAGCTGCAGTTGGACACTTAACTGACTGAGCCACCCAGGCACCCTCCTTCTCAATATTTAAATTGCACCAGAATCACCAGTAAAACTTTTTTTGTTAATTTTTTTTTTTAATGTTTATTTATTTTTGAGAGAGACAGAAACAGAATGTGAGTGGGTTAGGGGCAGAGAGAGAGGGAGACACAGAATCCGAAGCAGGCTCCAGGCTCTGAGCTGTCAGCACAGAGCCTGATGCGGGGCTCGAACTCACAAACCGTGAGATCATGACCTGAGCCAAAGTTGGATGCTCAACCAACTGAGCCACCCAGGTGCCCCAGTAAAACTTTTTAAAAAATAAAAATGTATCCATATATATACATAGGATTCTTATTTGCACCAAAAGTTGAGTTTTGTTATGCAAAGTTTACAATGTAGGTGATGTTCAGCCAGTTGTCATAAAGCTTTCTTATTTTCACATGTCTACTCAACATGAGAATATAAGAGGAAAAATTCAAAGATGAAATAAATATTGAAAATGTGCTTAACTGTGTATACTCTACTAAAAACATCTTTAATGATGGGATAAATCATATACGTACTTTAGCGCTCTGAAAAGAAGCAAAAAGAATGCCGTGTGAATTCAGAAGAATGAGACCTTACAAATGGCTTATCTGAAAAGGCTCACAGAGGAAGATGCTTTAAGCTGGGTTTTAAACGATAGAGGAGGAGAACACTAACATGTAAAGTATTTTGCAGTTTACAGAGCACTTTTGCCTCACTACATCAATTGTTTTTCCCACAAGTGTCCATTAGCATTAATATGGTAGGAGAAAAACATGAGGAAGTGTGTGGGAGATGAAACTAGTCAGAGACTGCCTGAAGTTGTAGGGCTGGTGGGTGGTGGTTGTTGGAAATACTTAAAGGACTTGCATGCCGCACTGAAAGTTGGAACTTCAGTCCATAAATGTACTGGGATTGTTGAAGGATTTCAGGTAAGGAAGTATCCTGTTGCATTTTGTGATGATTTTGAATTTTTTTTAAAGTTTTATTCTTTTTAATTTTTTTAAATGTTTATTTTTAAGAGAGTAAGTGAGCACAAACTGGGGAGGGACAAAGAAAGAGGGGGACAGAGGATCCGAAGAGGGTTCTGCGCTGACAGCAGCAAGCCTGATATGGGACTTGAACTTACGAACATGAGATCATTACCTGAGCTTAAGTTGGATACTCAACTGACTAAGCCACTCACGTGCCCTATGATCTTAAAAATTTTAGACTTGGGCAGCTGGATACATGATAATTTCATGAGTTAAGACAGAGGATGTAGATAGAACTTAGGAGAGAGAGAAGGAATTCTGTTTTGAAGCAGTGAATTTTGAATTTACTATATCTGGAAAATCTAGGTGGAAATATCTAATTGTGATAGATACGAAGAAATAAAAAATTTGAGTTCAGAAAAGGATTCCAAGCTGAAATGATGGATTTACATAGGAGAAAGCTAACGTCAGTAGAATAGATCCAATCCCATTCATATTTGCAAACATTTATTTAAAGGTCAACGTATTATGCCAACTTCTATGTTAACGACAGGAGGATATAAAAAATGAGATACTGTCCCTGTGATTTAAGAATCCAAAGTCAGGGCATAGGGGCATATACAGTTACAAAACAATATATATGTACTTTTTATAAATAAGTATAAACTATTCTCAGTGGAAAGAAGAGGGATGTTTAACTCTACTCCAGGGCTGGGGCCAGAATATGAATGGGGAGAAAAACTTTCAGAGTAAAACTGACTCTCAAAAAATGAACAGGAAATGGGTAGAAATTTACTACCTAGATAACATGGGATTATAACATGCAAAGTTAAGGTCTGCCTGTGGAAGTGTAAGTAAGTAGTCAAGCAGGTCTACAAAGCACATAAAGGACTAAGAAGACATGAGGCTGGCAAGGTAGTGTTCCTCCCTGTCATCTACATATGCAGGCAGCACATGTGCATGTGAGCACACACACATACACACACACACACACACACGCACAATCTTAAAGACATATTATCATTGTATCTTTTTTCTATTCAAACAAGCATTTAGATCATTTCTGATCACTAGAGGCATCATTTATAATTTGAGTTAAGGTGGACACATAACAAATTCCCAAGTTCAGTTACCTTTGAGTCATCAGTAAAAGTTTCAAAGCTTGATAATTTTCAGATAACTTCCAAGTAGGTTCATTATTTTGATTTTTATTAGATTTGGAAAGACTGTAATTGCCCTGTTCATGTGGGCCCCACTTTTCCTCTTACTTGGATAAATAATATTATTTAGGGGCGCCTGGGTGGCGCAGTCGGTTGAGCATCCGACTTCAGCCAGGTCACGATCTCGCGGTCCGTGAGTTCGAGCCCCGCGTCGGGCTCTGGGCTGATGGCTCAGAGCCTGGAGCCTGTTTCCGATTCTGTGTCTCCCTCTCTCTCTGCCCCTCCCCCGTTCATGCTCTGTCTCTCTCTGTCCCCAAAATAAATAAACGTTGAAAAAAAAAAATAATATTATTTAATAAGATAAGTAATGTTTTTAGTGCAGGTTTATGAATGTCTGTAAGCAGTCTTTTTTTTTTTAAATCTAGCTCTTTTTAAACATCAAAATTGATAAATGCTTTAAACATTTATTTAATTTAAGCATTATTCAATTTAACCCTTCTACCTTAGAATGTAAGATTGGTACCTAAAATAAATGGGGGGCTAGATTTGTAAGAAACCTTAATCACCATAAGGTTATGAAGCATTTTTTATCGATTAGTAGGGTTTGTCAAACTTAAAAACTAATTAAATTGGAAGCTAAAATGCTATCTCCTCCAGATTATTGTCAAGTTAAAGAAGAAAGATTTACTTCTATATTAAAGAAAAATTAAAATAAGGCTACCTGATGAGGAAAACTGCACATTGTAGCATAATGTGTTTATTTAGCTCTCATTTCAGAGTTATATTTAAAAAAATAAAACAATGTAAAAATGTTTTTTACAAAGGTATTTAGTAATATTTTTCCTCTTACAGGTTGAAGAAGATGGCTTACAAATCTGTGTCGAAATATGTGGTTGTGCCCTACAACTAGATCTTCATGATGATCCCAAAACTAAATGTTTAATATATAAAACAATTGCACATTTTTTGCCAAATGATTTGGAGATCCTCAGGATTTGTGCACTCTCAATATTTTTTCTTGAGCGCTCCCTGGAAGCTTACCATACTGTTGAAGACCTTTACAAACGTCCAGATGAGGAATATAACGAAGGCACAAGTAGTGTTCAAAATCGAGTTCGTTTTGAATTACTTCCCATTTTGAAAAAGGGATTGTTTTTTGATCCTGAATTCTGGAACTTCGTAATGATTAAGAAAAACTGTGTAGCATTATTGAGTGATAAATCAGCAGTTAGATTTCTAAATGAAAGTACACTGGAAAATTCTACAGGTAATCTGAAAAAGGCAGTGGAACAGCAAGGTTTAGATGAAGGGCTTGACTCTCTTACCGATCAGAGCACTGGAGAGCCTGATCCTGATGATTTGTCTAGAGTGCAACCTAAGGGTCACATTAATACAAAGAAAAACCTTATGGCTCTTAATGTTTCCAAAGTAGATCACAATGTCCCAAGGCATCGGTGTATGTTATGTAACAAGGAATTTCTAGGCGGTCACATTGTAAGGCATGCCCAGGCTCATCAGAAAAAGGGCAGTTTTTCATGTGTGATATGTGGTAGGAAATTTAGAAACAAAGGACTTATGCAGAAGCATTTAAAGAATCATGTTAAGAAAATACAAAGACAGCAAATTGCTGCAGCTCAACAGGAGGATCAAGAAATCCCCGCTGTGGAAGAAATAAATTGTTCCGATGCTTTCATTTCATTTGAGAATGGGAATTCTGATAATAAGGATTTGGAAGCAGACACAATTACTGCTTCCAGTGATGGAAACAAAGAGGTCATCCCTGCACATGTGGCTGAATTCATTGAAATTCCCGTAAGTGTATCCGAAGATGTAATTGAGAACATGATTGAAAATGGGAATCCTGATACTTCTTTAAATAATGTCTCAGAACCTTTGCCTGTATGTGAGGATGACTATGAGGAGGAAGAGGATGAAGAAGGTGATTATGAAGAAGACGATTATGACCTGAATCAAGAAACTTCCGTACTTCATAAAATCAATGGAACTGTGTGCCATCCAAAAGAGATATATGCTACAGATCAAGAAGGGAACTTTAAGTGCCCTGCTCTTGGTTGTGTCAGGATATTTAAAAGAATCGGATTTCTAAATAAACATGCAAGGACTGTACATCCAACTGATTTAAATGTGCGGCAAACGGTAATGAAGTGGAGCAAAGGAAAATGCAAATTCTGTCAAAGGCAATTTGAAGATTCTCAACATTTTATAGATCACCTTAATAGACACAGCTACCCAAATGTGTACTTCTGTTTGCATTTTAATTGCAACGAGTCATTTAAGTTGCCATTCCAGCTTGCTCAGCACACAAAAAGTCACAGGATATTTCAAGCTCAGTGTAGTTTTCCAGAATGTCACGAGCTTTTTGAAGATCTTCCTCTGCTCTATGAACATGAAGCTCAGCACTATTTGAGTAAAACACCAGAATCCTCCGCACAACCAAGTGAAACAATTCTTTGGGATGTTCTTACAGACTCAAATCCTAATCATCAGGAAAAAGACTCATCTAGTAATGAGAAACAAACTCTCACTCTGCCAGTTTCTACTAGCAAATCAAGGAAAGATTCCATAGAACCAAAGACGTGTACAGAAAGTATGGAGAAGAAAACAGATGGTTTAGTTCAGAATGGAAATGAACATTCTGACGACACTGTTTCTGATATAAGCTTGATAGACCAAAAGATGCCTGACATAGAGCCAAATTCTGAAAGTAATTATAGTATTAGTGATTTAGTCAATGGACACAGTGGAACAGAGCAGACACCTTTAGTTTCGTCAGAGCCTGCTTTGAAAACTGATACAAACAGAATCAGGACAGAAAATGGTTCCATTTTACCCAGTGTTGTACCACAAGAACATAATACCCTGCCAGTATCTCAGGCACCTTCCAAACCAAATCTGACGAGTGAACATACTTCATATGGCTTAATTTTAACAAAGCCGTATGTCAGACCACTGCCTCCCAGTTACCTTGATGAACGGTACCTTAGTATGCCAAAACGCAGAAAATTTCTGACTGATAGAGTAGATGCCTGTTCTGATCAAGATAACGTTTGTAAAAAATCCGTGAAAAGATTAAGATGTGGCAAATGCCTGACCACCTACTGTAATGCAGAAGCACTTGAGGCTCACCTTGCACAAAAGAAATGTCAGACACTCTTTGGATTTGATTCAGATGATGAAAGTAAGTCTTCTATCTTCTTAGTAGGTGTTATCTGTAGAAACAGAAAATGCCATAGATCTTTATGAGGTTAAGAAAGTTAACATTTGCATAGTGCAGATTATAAAGCACCACCCCATATGTTATTTCTTTCAATCCATACCACTACTATGAAGGTGATATTACTATTCCTGTTTCATAGATCAAGCAACTGAAATTCACAAGTGAGTAATTTGCATAGGTACAGCCTATGAACTTGTGGAAGCCAGAACTTGTACATGGTTTTTCATGTTCTTTGATCATACTTTCACTGTGTGTCCAAGACATTTTCTTCATTGCAGATTTCATGTAATAAAAATTTTAGAAATGAAGTAATTATGATGGAAATGTTTTTCATCTAATGCCAGAATATAAACCAAGTGAAGCTGAGCTTCTATTTCTTAAAAAAAAAATTTTTTTTTCAATGTTTATTTATTTTTGGGACAGAGAGAGACAGAGCATGAACGGGGTTGGGGCAGAGAGAGAGGGAGACACAGAATTAGAAACAGTCTCCAGGCTCTGAGCCATCAGCCCAGAGCCTGACGCGAGGCTCGAACTCCTGGACCGCGAGATTGTGACCTGGCTGAAGTCGGACGCTTAACCGACTGCGCCACCCAGGCGCCCCTAAGCTGAGCTTCTATTATAGAAACAGAAGTGAAAAAGAACCAGAAAATAACTGAAAAAAACTGAGCAAAAGCTTGCTTTTCTACTAATAACAATATTTTTCGAATGAGTAAGGGGTAAAATAGGAATCTAACTTAGAATTCCAGTTGAACTATAAAATTTGAATTAACAGACATGTTCTGTTTTACAGGTGCCTGATAAAAATGTTTCAGAATGATCTGTCGATCAAGCAGTAGTGTGAGAAAAGCACTGCAAGAAATTGCATCATCAGTTTGCTATTTTCCTGATGGCCTTAATTTTCAAGCGGTCTTGGATTTACTAAAGATAAAGACAAAGCACATTTTCTAGAATGAACTCAGAGAGGAGATGTGCTGGTTTAGACTCCAAAAGGGTTATTAAAAAACTCCCAAAGTACCAGTTATCCAGAAAACCACATTTTTTAAAAAGTTGATGACTATTAATGCAGCATGTTCAGTTTTACCTATGTGAGAAACATGTTCGGGCAACTAGTCAGAAAGGAAAACCAGCTATGGCCTTACAGAAAGGGAAAAGTTAACCGGTTATTAAAAAAAAGGGGGGGGGGGCGTGGGGGTGGTTTACAATAAACAGCTTAAAGTATTCTACAAAAGAAATTTGTTTTCTTGTCATGCATAATCAGATTATGTCCTCCCCTTCTCGTCAAACACGGTTTAAAGAACATTGGTATTTGGTTTATTATAATTTAAAAACTGATACATGAAAATAAAATTTGATATATCACCATGCTATCCATAAAAGATTGTAACTTGTTTCCAGATGATTGATTAGACAGGATAGAGTTCAATGAATGGCATGCCAGCACTGAAAATTAAACAAAAGAAAACAAAACACTTTGCTAATAAGCTCCACTTTCCATTTTGGTAATACCAATGAGTTGTATTTAAAGGCAGCAGTGTCCAATAGAAAAAGAACCATCAGTAACTTTGAGGAGAGATGGGAGGAATCTAAGACCATTAAAGGCTATCTAATTGAAGGAAAACACTGAATTGCAAATAACTCAATGTGAATAATGGTATAAGCACACTGGGATATTTCTATTTGTATATAGAGTAGTGTTAGGACATTGCTTGATGATTCATAGTAAGGTCCTTTTAGACATTAATGTGAGTTATCTAAGTACAGTCCTATAAAAATAACTGGCTGTAAAAAAAATATGTCAGCTAAATCAGGTCAAGAATTCATTGGTTTTATTCAGTTAGGAGAGTTAATTCTAAAATAAGCCATACTACTCATGCTTTCTTATTTATTAGTGATGAATTTGGTCTGAATAGTAATTTTTATATATAAAAGGAAATATGTACACAAAAATTTGCACAGCAAGAACACAGTTAAGATATATTGATGCTTTTATTTTCCTTGATGACCAGTAGTTTTCCTAAGGAAGATTTTAACTTACTAGTCAATGAATTGTTCAAACACAAAATGTTTTTTAAAATACCCTCTCAGATATGTTCCACTTGTACATTCTCTAAAAGAGGAAATTTAGTGATCTTTTACCTAGTAGTGTGTTAATCTACAGCAGGGATAAAATGAACAAAAATACAAAGGCAAATTCTTAAAAAATGGAGCTACTAATGTGCCATCGTCAACCAAATATTCCAGTTATTCAAACAGACATGTTTTTGTTCAAAGCAGATAATCTTGTCAGACCTTAGTATTATAGCTTCTTTAATGAAGTCACTAAGGAAGGGGCATTTCTTCAAGGTAGCATCCAGACTTTATCAAGTTGGGATATCCAGGCCATGAGGATTTTAAAAAATTCCCAATTTTATTATTTATTCATTCACTACTATGCAAGTGATAGTCACAAGTCCATTCCAATCAAATTTAAGTTTTTGTTTTGTTGTGTAGCCTACATTAGGCTGTGGGATTTACATTTAAATGACACATAAGTAAATGCAACTCAATCAGATTTTTAAATCCGTTAAGGTCAACTAAAAAAAAAAAATGTTTTCCATATTTCCTAAAGCTAAAAATATACTTGAGTTCTATTTCAGTTCAATATAAAGTACATCATGTAATAAAAAGTCTGTTTGGACACCATTTGGACAGTGAGGTTTTTTTTTTTTTAATATAATTTCTGCTTTGTATATTTTCCAGAAGTTTAAAATTACAATTTAGCATTTTATCACATCTTTTAACTTTCACTTTTTATAAGTTGTGACTATTGACATAAATCCATGTCTGAAAATTGTTATTTTTATTCATTATGCAGTTCATATCAAGAGGTTTTAAACATATTCCACTTGTTAATTTTATCTTTAATTTGAGGTTTTATTTCTACTTTTGTGTTGCTAAAGGAAAACTATTTCTGAAACATTGAGATCAAATTGGCCTATAAATAATTAAATCAAGGAATGTTTTATAAAAATCTATTTGGCTATGCTGTTCTAAACCTCTTTATATAATCCTCAAATAATTGCTATTGAAAGAATGTGTACATTTCATCATGTATGTCTTATAAAGCATAAACTTACATCATTTTGCTTTTGTGGGGTGCATAAACTTCCAACAGTTCTCATTGGGGATTTGGAAGAAAAGGAAGCTTTCTTATTCCTCAGTTCTTCTCTTTTACTTTTCTACTTCTTCTATTTTGAGGATGTGTTTATCTTACATGGACCAAGTTTCAATCTTTTTTTTTTTTTAATAAAAATTTCCTTCAAAACATTAAATATTAACTTTCTGCTGTCTCAGTAAGGTCAAGAAAATAGCAAATCTGAATTTTTGCTGCTCAGATATTACAAAAAAGAGGGATCTCCGTGGACAAGGACACTGGTACTTTGGGCTCTAGCCATATCCATTTTTTTAAACCACCGATTATATGAGTAGATAACTTATAACACTGAACTTGTGATTCTTTTCAAATCACACTTGAAGGTTCAGCTGTACTCCTTTCATGTTTGGTTTAAACTGTTGTATGGATGAAAAACCTAAAAGGGATGATAGTGTTTATCTTTTAATTTATTTGGTACTGTAAAACACCTTTTCAGAATGCCTAAATGCTGCATATGCATTTTGGAATTGTTAATATGTGAAAGATATTACAGATTCAGCAAGAAAGGAAATTTGTGCTTCCTTGTTGAACATTAAATTATTTTACTTTGCATTTTATAAGAGTACAAATTAAAACTGAGCCATTGAACTGCAATAATTCAACAATAGCGTCTCATTTCAAGAAATTTTTTGTACTGTACATAGACTTGTTCAATAAAACATTGTCCTTGTTGGTAATGAAGTGTTCAGTTTTATGTAGCACATTGCTTCAAAAGGAATTAGGCTTAAGGTATATATTCAGTAAGAAATTTCTATTAGGTCTCCTAAGAGAGTAACTTAGTTAATATTACCATATTCAGATGATTAATTAAAAAAAATTTAAAATAGAAAAGTCTAAAAGTTTACATAAAACCTTCTTAGACATTATTTTAACTTATGTCTACATGCAGGAATTACAAGTTGATAGAATGCTGGTTCCTCAAGTTATTTCAGGTACCCTTTGCAAACTTAGTAGGTGGACAAATTATCAGAACTCTTCAAATGAAAGACAGTGGATGGATTTATCTATGTTGGTAAATCTTCAAAGATGAAGAGCCTCTGGTGGAATTCCAAACAAAAAACCAAACACTGGGAAGTCACTTTGAAATAAGATGTAAATATGATGAAAATTACTTCCTAAAAAGCATTTCAGTGGGACAATGTGTAAACCAATTAATTTGTATCTAAAAGTGAGGTCCGTGAGCGTGAGGGCTCCTACTTTTCTGGTTGACTAACAAAGCAAAACCCCCTACACTCAGCTATAACTTGCAACAGGAAAAGAATGAGAGCTGAAGTAGAAAAAGCACCTGTTTGATGCGATGAGATACCAATGCAAATGAAAGGACAGTGTCAAATACAGTGGTTTGTACATATTACAAACATGCTTGGAAAAACACTGACAAAGCTATGGAAGCACTCTAGACCTGAGATCTAGAATTCTCAGCCTATGCTTTATGATCATGATTTTAGACTACTAAATGTATTGAGGAAGTATTTAGATAAAAAATATTGGGTTTATCTAATTTTTCTTGAGACTTGAGGAATTTTGGGAAGCAGTCAAATATTACTAAGTGTGCTTCCACGATAAACAAATGAGGTTGCCTTTCAGTGCATAATATAAATTCCATACCAATTTCAAGAGCGAACTGATAAGAGTCAGAAGTTTGGGCTACATATCAAGACGTCAAATGGAGGCAATCCAATATTACATGGAGTAAAAACTAAAAATGAGAGGGAGGTCCATGCCTTAACTTATGAGTGCTACACAAAGGAGAAGAAATGTCTTCTGTGTTACCAAATTATACTAGCTGTTTTATATGTTATCTCTAATTAAAACAACTCATAGATATGAACTCTGCATTTTAGAAACCAAACCTCAGATATATTAACTAACTTGACTGAAGCCACAGGACAGGTGGGATTGAAAAATCAGAGGTGTCCTCCTAAAACCATAATGCCGTGCAGTTTTCTCTACAAATATGGGTGGATCTAATATATCCAAAGAGAGGATTAGACTTTCCTCAGGATCAGTGACTTCAGAGACAAAGGATGAAATCTGGTAGGGGCAGGTGGCCGAGGTTTCATTTTCTTCTACTAGCAGTGATTCTTATTCTTACAGTTTGGTCCTGGGAGCACCAAAATCAGCATCATCTAAGAACTTGTTACAAATGCTAAATTTTGGTCAGTTGAGGGACCAGTCTGTCGTTTAACAAGTCCTCTGGGTGACTCTAATGATGCTAAGGTTTAAAAACCACAGATCTAAGGCATCAAGCTGCTTCATATTTCCCCAGAAGGTAAACTATTCCCCCTTAAATTCATAGAGCATTCTTAGAAACTCTTGATGTCCAGGACATTTAAAGAAGGTCCCCTATTAATAGGTACTTAAATAACTACAGTTGGGTGAAATAGATATTGTAATACTAAGATCTCACCCCCCCCCCAAGCCACTCTAATCTAGAAAATCTTATTTTTTTTCTCAAAAAGTATTCAGTAAGTGAAAACTACCAGAATGTGATTTAATGGAAGCAGCTCAAAGAGATGTGGGGACCAACTGTATTCAAATTCCAGCATGATAGTTTATGGTTGTGGAGCCTTAAGCAATTAAGTGCATCCCACTGAGCTCAGACTCCCACATATGTCAAAAGAGGAGAGCTATTCTTGCAAGGTTGTAAGAATTAAGTAGGTGAAGGGCCCAGTGCTGAGCCCTTAAGTGTTAACAGTTTTACTAAATTTCTCTTCAGGTCATGGTTCTTGTACTGGCTTTGGCTCTAGACAAAAATAGCCGTGCTGTTTTATTCGTGCATTTTTCACTACTGCTCCCTTCACCTGTAATTCTTCACCCTCTTTCTGTCCTACCCCTCATTCTTTGCGTTATCTTCTTAGGCATCACCACTTTCTCCAGAAAGCCTGATCTCTCTTGGTAACTCATTTCCCAATTAAAACCTCCTTCTCCCAGACTTCCTCCTCTCAGCAAATGGCAGCTCATTACCCAAACCAAATCTTGCAGTTATCCCGAACCCATTATCAAGTTTTCCACTCTACCTCCAGCCACCAGCATCTCTCACCTGGACTACTGTCTCCTAATTGGGCTCCCTGCCTCTACCTTTGCCTTTCTTCAGTTTGTTCTTCACACCAGTAGCCAAAAAGATCCTGTCAAAGCAAGTCAGATCATGCCATTCGTCAGTTTAAAATTCTCCAAAGCCTTTACAACTCATTCATTTATTCAACAAATATTTATTGCATACCTACTATGTGCCAGGTTCTGTAATAGGCAATAATAAAAAAATAATAAAAATCCCTGGCTCACAGAACTCACATTCTACTGGGGGGCAACATATAGTGTGTTATAAGTGCTATGGAGAAAACTTAAGTGGATGGGGAAAAGAGAAGTAAGCATGGCATTGTTGATGATGATTTTAAACAGGATGATAAAGGAAGGCTTATTTAATAAGCTGATTTTCTTATTGCTATTTTTAATTTTTATTTTATTTTTTTATTAAATTTTTTTTAACGTTTAAATTTTATCTAAATCCAAGTTAGTTAACATATAGTGTAGTGATGATTTTAGGAGTATTATTTAGTGATTGATCACTTACATAGAACACCCAGTGCTCATCCCAGCAAGTGCCCTCTTTATACCCATCACCCATTTTGCCCATCGCCCCACCAGACACCCTTCCAACAACCCTCAGCTTGTTCTCTGTATGTAAGAGTCTCTTATGGTTTGCCTCCCTCTCTGTTTTTATCTTATTTTGATAAGGCAACTTTGGAGCAGGGACCTGAGTGAAGTTAAGAGAAAGAAAGCCATTCAGGTATCTCAGGGAAAAATCTGCCAGGAAGAACAGCAAGAGCAAAGGCTCTGAGGCAAGTACCTATAAGGCAAGTTTAAGGAACAAACAGCAAGGGGACCACTGTGACTAGTGTGGAGTGAGAGATTGAGAGAATAACAGAAAATGAAGACAGAGAGGTAAAAGATAACAGCCAAAGTCCTCACAATGGCCTGCAAGGTTCTCGATCTGCAGTATCCAATACAGTATCCACTAGCCACATGTGGCTATCAAAATTCAAATAAAACTGAAAATTCAGTGCCTCGGTTGTACTAGCCACATTACAACCACTCAACAGCCACACGTGGCTGATGGGTAGTGTACTGAACAACACAGATCCAGAACATCTCATTCTGGATGTTATCTCATCACTATCTCAAAGTATTTTTGGACAGGTGGTCTCTATCAGTGGTTCTCAACTGGGGGTGGTGATTTGTCCTCTAGGGTACACTTGGCAAATTGGAGATATTTTTGGTAGCCACAGCTGAGGGGAGGAGATGCCACTGGCATCTAGTGGGTGGAGGCAAGGGACGCTGTTAAGCGTTCTACAATGCATACAACAGCCCCCACAACAAAGAATTATCCTGCCCAAAATGGTACTAGTGCCTTGATTGAGAAACCTTGCTCTAGATCAATCTCGTCTGCAACTCTAACCTCACCACCTCCTCCTTGTATAAGCCACTCTGGCCTCTTTCCTACACACCAAGCATTCTGCTTCTTGGAACCTCTAATGTTGTTTCTTCCTACAATACTCTTCTGCGGTCCATTCAAGTTCCTCAGATCTTTCAATACTAGTTAGAGAAGCCTTTCTTGACAGCCTGTATAAAATAGCAACATTCTCTCCATCCCCCTCCTTTTGATATATTTTTCGCCATAGCAGGTCCTGGCACAGAATATATATAGTTTCTTACATGTTTACTGTCTACTTCCTCCAGCTAGAATGTCATCTACTTGCAACACTCCCAAAACCTCCTTAAAAGAAGGGACTTTGACATTTCTCTGAATCTTCAAATAGTAGCATAGTAGGCACTCTTTAATACTTAGTGAAAAATGAAGAATTTTTATCTGTTGAGTCAATGATACCCCAAAACGCACACTAGCAAATTAGCCATGCTCTGAATGCCTACACTACATTTACAGCATATTTTACAAGTGATATATAACTGATATTTTTTAAAAGGTTAAATTTGCTCACGTGTATCTGAAGATATGTATGTTTCATCTACTAAGTGGCAATACTCTAATGAAATATTAACCAATCTAAAATATGCCTAAAATATGCAAGGAGATAGAGCCAAGGTGTTAAGTCTGATTCCTCATCGGGCTCGGTCTAGCAGAACATGTTTCCTTCGAGTGAATGCGAGTTGCTGCCAAACAGTAATAAACAGCTACTACATACTGAGTTCTTTCTAGGTGCCAGGCACCGCCCTTCACCCCTCCCCCCTCCCCCAACCCTTCGAGGTAGCTAACTCTACTAGGTCCGTTTCGAGATAGGAAACTGAGGGACGAAGAAGCCAAGAAGCGCGTCCGAGGTCACAGGTAGTGAATGGCGGAGTAAAACCCTGGTAACCTGACTTCCAGAATCCTCAACCTTAAAACTGCTCGCGATACAGCATCGCCTAAAACCAAGCCGGCGAGGACCGGAATGGAAGCAAGAGCCGATCGCAGATTGTTAGGAAATCAAGAGGGCTTGACATAGGATAGGTGATTTTAACTATTCACAGTATAATGCGAAACAAAAGCGAATTATTTTAACACTGTACTATGTAAGTTAAGAATACCAACTACAGGTGCACCCAACTTAGAATTGGCCGCAGAAGACGTTCAAGCGCTCCCGGGGGTCAGGCCCAGGGGCGGGCAGCAGGCTCCTCCATTGGCCGGCCCCGCGGCATCATGGGAGCTCGTCGTGCGCGGGGACCGCCACCCGCTTTCCACGCACCTGCACCTGCGCAGCCCTCCCAGCCGCTTTTTTGGAGGATGGACTCCTGAAGAGCTCAAGCTTCTCTTTCTGCAACCAGATCCCTCAGGGAAGATCCCTGTTCTCCGTGCAAACGCGGTACTTCCCTAAAGTGAGATCCGTTGAAGTCCCCTCCGTCCTGTCCAGCCCGGAACGACAAGTCGGAACACCACATTTCCTGAACTGACCTTGTTGGCAATCACTTCCGCCCAGGCGTTTGGAACACCCGAGGCCCTTTGGCGGCGAACAACAGGCAAGGCACTTCCGGTGTATGTTGCCTAGGCGCCGGCCTGCTGGGCCTGAAGGGACGACATTGCTGGGTCGTCCCCTCCCCCCCCATTTTTGGGGGCCGAGATGTCGGGGCTCAGCTACCCAGAGATGGAGGGCTGTCGTAACCTGCTCGGCCTACTAGACCACGATGATATCATGGCCCTGTGCGACACCATCACCAACCGCCTGGTGCAGCCTGAGGACCGCCAAGGTAAGTGCTGACTTCTCCGCGAGAGCGGACGCCCCTCCCGAGGCTTCATCCAGACCCCAGGTGGCGGGAGCCTGAGAATAGAGAAGGTGCGTGACCTCGCCCCGCGATGGGGCCCGAACCGGGCTGAGGCGGAACTCTTGAGAGTCTCAGCCACCGCCGCTGCTCCGCGGCCGGGGAACCTCCGCGCACCTTCAGGTGGCACTGACCCGCCAGCTCCCTGGGGGAGGTGATGGCACTGGAAACGGCGCAGCTTCCAGGTTTTATGTGTTGGGTGTTAGGGGCATATGCTTATTTTTTTCGAAAATTTAAGGTTAGTTAAAAGTCGTTTTTTTTTTTCAAAATTTCCGGGGAGCCAGGGTGTTTTCCATTTTGCGTCTCGATTCAGCTGGGGAGTGTTAGCTGGTGAGCCGAGGAGTCAGCTGCTGCTCATGTTTGTCTCTCCGAGCTTGCGGGAGGAGATCTTAAACACTTTCAGTTTCCTAGGTAAAACAGCTGCTGTAATAAAAGAGCAGATCGTTTGAATACGTGTCTCTTTTTGGATCCAGTTTTTTTTTTTTTTTTCTGAGATGATTTTGAGCAATAGGAATACATTATTTTCAGAGCCAAACAAACATTTCGGTAGATTTGAGCGTTATTAATATTAAGCCTGATTTGTAACTACTCCACATAAAAATGTAATCAAGAAGCTTAAGTGTTTATTTCGCTTGGTATATCATCTGGAGAGCTTTATTTTAAATTTGCTGAATTTTACTTTAAAATGTGAAAATTCCAGACTGCTATGTTAGTATGACTTCAATGTCTACAAAAGGTTGTGCTTTTTAAAACTGTGTTGCTCTGCTTTTAAGTCGGATTTACATTTCCATTTAAAGAAATCATTCACTTGAAACTTAGAACCATGAACATTAAAAGAAGAAATTCCTAAGACTTTAGACTGCACAGTTTTAGACTTATATGTAGTTCTTCATCATTTAAATATTTCACATGCTACTCACACCTAAACAGGGTGAGTGTGAATTTAAAATTGATAGATAAAAATGCTGGATTTAATTGATGGTGGGTCTAAAAGTAAATAAGGAAAAGAGATGTTAAATGATTTGAAAAGATACTTGTTAGAGAGGAAGAAAATAATTAGCATATGAAAAGATAACTTCTTTAAAAAGCAGTGAAATGAAAGCCAAAAACAGTGTCTTTTCAGTCTACCATTGTGGCAAAAAAATGAAAGGCGTAAATGTCATAAATGGTGGTCTTGCAGAGCAACTTTTTGACAGTTATTGGAGGAGTGTAAATTAGAACTTTGGAAAACAGGTTTAACAGTATCTCCAAAAATGGAAGATTTGCTTAATTCTGGGCTCATATTCTGGACCTGAGCTTCTCAAACTACTGTGCCTGTGACTCAGTCCCTCAGGGATCTTGTGAAAATGCAGACTCTGATTCAGTAGTTTTTGGATGGCCCCAGAAATTCAGCATTTCTGACAAGCTCCCAGATGATGCTCATGATGCTTGCCCCAAGTCTTAGTTCTGCCACTTCTTGGAAGCATGATTGTTGATACCTCATATATCCTCAGCTTTCATTATTTGTAGAGTGAGGAGATTAAAAGTCATTGCATATCTAAAATACTGTAATTTTACCTATGTTAGAGATTATAAATGAATTTAGGTCCATTGGCCTTCTAAAAAAAATTTTTTTTTTCTCTGGCTCCATTTTTTTCTTAAACCATGTCACTTAAAAGAAAATGCAAAAATTTTACTATCTTATGAGAAGTGAAAGGAAGAGGTAAATAAGGTAGGGAAGTTTAAAACATAAAGAAATTTTTTAAATTTATTTATTTTCAACATTTATTTATTGTTGAGAGACAGAACCAGCAGGGGAAGGGAAGAAAGAGAGGGAGACACAGAATCTGAAGCAGGCTCCAGGCTCTGAGCTGTCAGCACAGAGCCTGACGCGGGGCTCGAACTCACGGACCACGAGATCATGACCTGAGCCGAAGTCAGACGCTTAACTGACTGAGCCACCCAGGCGCCCCAAGAAAATTATTTTTAAAACCCCAAACTTGATAACCCACTTCCTGTTTTTTTTTTTTTTTTAAGTTTATTTATTTATTTTGAGAGAGAAAGAGTGTGAGCAGAGGAGGGGCAGGGAGAGAGGAGAGAATCCAACAGGCTCTGCGCTGTCAGCTTAGAGCCAGACATGGGGCTTGAACCCATGAACCTTGAGATCATGACCTGAGCTGAAACCCAAGAGTTAGATGCTTAACTGACTGACCCAGGCGCCCCCCACTTCTTGGTTTTGTTAAAATAATCATCTCATGCCAAAGCAATGCCATGACAAGAATTTATAAATATTATTTGATAGGGTTTCTGCTGACCTTGGATCGATTTACATGACTTAGGGTTTTCTACTAATTTTTATTATTTCCTTCCAGATGCCATTCGTGCAATATTAGTGTACAGTCAAAGTGTAGAAGAGCTTTTGAGGCGTAAGAAAGTCCACCGGGAAGTCATATTTAAGTACTTGGCAACACAGGGGGTTATTATACCTCCAGCTACTGAAAAACACAATCTTATTCAGCATGCAAAGGATTACTGGAAAAGGCAGTTACAGCCAAAATTGAAGGAAACACCAGAGCCAGTTAAGACAGAGGACATGAGACTCTTTCAACAGGTAAAATAGATCTTACAGTTATACCCTAAGTCATAGTTCTGTCTAAACTCTGTAGATAATCCTAGATCACTGGGAACATGGCTAATACTATTTTGTTTTTTATAATTTTAGCTTTACTCCATATCCTTTGCATCCTAGAGGAAGATAAGTAAAGCACCTAAAGAAAGGAAATATTTTTGACATTTAGTAATATACATAAAAGATTGTATTGATTTATGAGGGAAAAATGCTTTTATTACTTTATCAAATGAAGACTATTGGCTTTGTAAAGAGAGTGGATAAACCTCAGTTCCCATTTAATTTTAATTTAGCTTCTGATTCTCTAATGTTTTTGTTCACTTTAAAAGAATGCTATTATAGCCCTTTCTCATTTTGAAGACTTTCTTTGATATTAAATTGATATTAGATTGTAAATTCCATGAGAAAAACTTAAATATTTTTTAAATTTGATTTTTTTTTTTTTTTAGCTAGGAAAAAGCCTCTTGTAATAATTTCCTTCAGCTCACATTGGCTGTTTCTTTGTATCTCCACTGTATGTTTTAGATACTGTGTGAATATTTAAATGCTGATTGTATGAATGCTAGGTAATTTATAAAGTTTAAACTACAAACTTTGAATCAGTGAAGTTTTACAGTGAGAGGTATTTGCTTTCATATTAGGAAAGAATCTAAGCTTTTTTAATGTGCTTAGAAAGGATGCCAACTCTGAAATCATACGGATGTGACTTAAAAATAGGGTGTGCCATACGCTAGGTGTGAACTTCAGCAAGTAACTTGACCTTTCTGACCCCTGTTTACTTTATCTATAAAGCCCACATATGATAGTTTGTATGTCACAAGGTTCATGAAGATAGAAGGAAATAGAATATAAGTGCCAAGCACAGAGCCTAATATATTCAGTCAAAGATGCTCTGTCAATACAAGATCTCTTACCATCAAAATGAGTTACTATACTCTGGAACACAGATGAATAAAATCTAGCCTCTCAGGTATGTTTTTTGCAATAACATTTTCTTTGAAAAAAAGAGAAATAACAATATAAAATTAATCCCAATCCTAAAAAGTAATGTATTTCAATCATATTAGATTTGTCTGTTTAAAGATAGTGAAAATGCTCATTTATTATCTACGATATTGTACTAGTTTAAATGCAACAGCGTATGCACTTAAAGCATACAGTTTGAAGGTTTTGACAGACATTTGTGAAACCGCTGCCACATATAAGAGAAAATGCTTACATAAATCATTATTGACTGTTCATGCTGATATTTTGAGAGGCTTTATTAACCTTAATTTCTTAGCTGAATTTTCATATGTTTAAGCTGGGAAATTGTAAAATGATTTTTCCCCTTTTTGGAAAAACACTTGACTTTTTGCATGATGGTTTCAGTGGGTTCACCTGTAGTTCGTTTAGCTTCTGCTGTACTCCGTATACTCAAACTTACCTCTAAAATGGGCCAGATAGAAAAAAATACAAGAACTAACCTTTGTTTTATTTTATACTTTATTTATCTTAATCAGCCGGAAAAAGAAGATAAGAAAGCTGAAAAAGTTGATTTTCGTCGATTAGGAGAAGAATTCTGTCACTGGTTCTTTGAACTTCTTAATTCTCAGAATCCTTTCCTGGGACCGCCTCAAGATGAATGGGGGCCACAGCACTTCTGGCACGATGTCAAGCTTAGGTTTTATTACAACACCTCTGAACAAAATGTGATAGACTACTATGGAGCAGAAATTGTAAGCCTTCGTCTGCTGTCACTAGTGAAAGAAGAGTATCTTTTTCTCAGTCCCAATCTAGATGCCAGTGGACTGAAATGTGCTTCTTCTCCCCATGGTCTAGTTATGGTTGGAGTTGCTGGGACTGTCCACCGAGGGAACACTTGTTTGGGCATTTTTGAACAAATATTTGGACTCATACGCTGCCCTTTTGTGGAAAATACTTGGAAAATCAAATTTATCAACCTGAGAATTATTGGAGAGGGTTCTCTTACTCCTGGAACATTAATGAAACCAGC